GGGAACCGAACTCACGACCTTGCGCTTGCCAGGCAGGTGCTTTTGCCACTGAGCTAAATCCCCAGCCCCTATCTCATGGATTCTTGCTGGAGAGAACATGAACCTCTTGGACTACTACATTCACCTCCCCACTGGTCTCTTTCTTTTGAGAATCCCAGTCTATTTCAGAGCTGCCAAGGTGATCTTTTTAAAAAAACAAACAAGCTCAATCCTGTTATGCCTTATTTAAAACATTTTAATAACTTCTGTAGACTAAACTTTTTAATTGACAAGTCATGATCTAACTGCTCTGTGTTTCATCCTAGCCACCCAAGTCTTACTTTGCACCCTTTGCTTCAGCCTTACCAAGCTGCATGCTGTTCTTAGAGCTGTTATGCTGCTTTACTGTCTAGAACATTCTTTTTTTATCTTTATGCCATCTCTCAGGGTGAAACATGCTCATCTTATAGGTCTCAATACCTGGGCCACCTTTTCTGTACAAACTTCCTCTGGCTTCTTCACACATATGCAATCCTATCCCATGAACAGTGGCTGCTCCTGATTCCCTACTTTGTACCTCTGCTATTTTAGCATCTAAGAGGTTTTCCATCTTTCAATTATTCATATTATAATATACTCACACTGTAAAGCCTTTAAGATGGGACATCATTTTACATTTCCACCAATGTCTTAACCTGTAACTGGTGTTCAGATAGTTTGAATGATCGTTATGTGTCTTTTAACATATTTTTATGCTTTGGAGGAGTGGTTATGGCTTTGAGTAATTTTTCTCTGTGTGTTTTTGAATCTGTTGCTCTGTGTAAGCTTGCTTTTCTTAAAATAATATTCTCCAAAGGTTAAGTTTCCCAAGAAGGAAATTTGCACAAATTGTTCATTCTCTGTTGCTCCCTTGTCTCTTTGGAAAGTGCAGAATATGCAGCTTTTCACACTGCTCGATAACTGTGATCATAGTCTGTTCTTCAACAGGCCCCAGTGTCGGTCTTTCTTTAACCTCTCATGTATTTGGCTCACCTCCTTTGACTGCATTATAAACTCATTGATACTGGTATTACTTTTTATTGCCCAGTGATTTCTTTCTGTAGATACTCAGTATATTGAATTAATGGCTTTTTAACATATAACAAAGTTTGCAGATTAAAATACTTTTGCACTGATATATATTTTAAAGCATTTTATTTTAGTTAAAACATCAAGGGGAAAAGCTAAAATTAGTGTCTTCTGTTTTGTAGTATTTGTGTAGAATGGCATCAAATGAAGATAAATATTCACTTCCAGTTGAACAAAATAACTCCGATCAAGGCAGTTCTGTCTCTACAGATCTTCAGGTAGGAAGACATGTCTAAATTTAATTTTTTTTCATTTTAAGCAAGTGATAATTTATGAGAAAACCTGGATCATATGTTTCATTCATTCCATTCACAATGGAGTCTTGGGCCAGGAACGTAGCTGAGCAGCACAGTGCCTGCATGGCAAGCACGAGGCTGAGTTCCGTTCCCAGTACCCAAAAAAGACAGATACTGTACAGTGGAGTCTTTTACTGTACCGTAATATCAAACTTCGGGAATTACTTTATAAATTTTGGGAGTTACTTTACATTGTTTTAACACTTCAGAAAATATTCATGAACTCCTTACTTTTACAGGGGCTTCAACTAATAATAGAAGAAAAGCTTAAAATTTCAAGAAACATTTTTTCTTGAAATTTTCTCATTTAACTACCTCTTGTGAATGCTGCTTTCATTTTTAATGCAAATTGATGCAATATCAAACCACCCAAAGTTCTAGAGCCCAAGATTCCCTTGTGTTCTACTCGAGGTTCTAGTCCCTGTTGCTACAACATTCAACACAATCTGTTGCCAGAGACCTGGGCATTGAGAGATAAATTGACTATACAAGGTGTGCTGTTTGCATGAAATATTTTTCATTTCTTTTCTTTCTAAATGTTTCATCATCAAAAGTACAGATTGAAATTTCTAGAGACTTCAAATTGAGAGAATACTGACATGGTATAGTTTAAGTTTTACAGTTATTATCACTTAAAAAGAGAAAACAAGGAGAAAAGCTGGACATTGTGTTTATATGTAAGTAAGCTGTTATTGATATTGTGATATATAAGGGTATGAAACAAATGAGTTCTTTTCATTGAAATTATAGATTTAAAAAATTGGAAAGAGCTGGATATGGTGGCACACGCCTGTAATCCCAGAATTTGACAGGCAGAGGCAGGAGGATCGCCACAAGTTTGAGGCCAGCCTGGGCTACATAGTGAGTTCAAGGCCAACCTGAACTACATAGCAAGACTCTGTCTAAAAAAATAAAAAAAATTGCGAAGATATTTGAAAAGTCTGAATATTTACTATTATAAATTACCTGGAGTTGCATAGTAGACATGCCACCTAGACCTTTCTCTTTGGTGGAACTTCTCCCGTGTAGTGCTATCTTCGAAGTGACAGTGCTTTCCTATCATCTTCATCTCTGCCTTACCCAAAGTTCTTCAGGAAGAACTAATTAACTCATTCATGCCAAGACATAAACACCCTGTAAAGTCTCATGGAGTCATTTGTCGAGAAATGAAAGTTTAAATCAAAAGAGTAAATCTTGGAGCTGGAATATACAGTGATAGAGAGCATGTACAAGGCCCTGGGTTTGATCCCTGGCCCTGGGGGAATAAAAAAGAGACTAAATCTCTGCAGTGGATTTAAGAGAGGTAAAGGAAAGGGTGCAGCTTAGAACTGTCAGCAAGTTGCCTTGACTAAAATGGTTGAGATAGGGGCTGGGGATTTAGCTCAGCGGCAAAGCGCCTGCCTGGCAAGCGCAAGGTCGTGAGTTCGGTTCCTGGTACCGGAGAAAAAAACCAAAACCAAAAAAATAAATAAATAAATAAAATGGTTGAGATATGGGTTGAGCTGTATTTCAGGGTCATAGCAGTCCAGCTATTGGGAGTGCAGAAGCCAGCCAAAATTACAAGTATTGGTTGTTACTCTAGGACTCTCATTTACCTAAGACAGGTTGTCTATGATAATCAAGAAAAACAATATTATTTATTTTGACCTTCAACTTTAAAAATCCACTCTGTCCATAACTACATATACCAAACTTCAAAATAGTTGTTTAAATAGCTGATTTTTAAGTTCTTTCTTTAAAATAAGTTGGAATATGTGTGATCATTGAATACTAGTAATATATACCTATTTATCTTCTCTTAAGTCATAGTAATTGTTGGTGAGAATTTCAAAATATATGTTTGGATCCTTTCTTACCTAGAAGAGAGGTCAGATTAGGAAAGCCATAAATTCAAACCACTGACTTCCACTTCCCTCCCTTCCCACAGGCCACCTGGAGTAATAAGCTAACTCTCAGGGGAGCTGGCTGGACTAAATCTAGTTGCAGTCACCCCCAGGGGGAGAAGACTACAAGATAGCCAACACACTACCCTGCTTGGACTGCCCTAACAGAGTACAATAGATCCAGGGTTAAGCAACAGACATTGATTTCCTCCCAGTATTGGACACTAGAACTCCCGTTTCTGGGTCCAGCAAGATGTATTTCTCTTCTTGGCTCGCAGACAGCTGCCTTCCCGTTGTCTGCCTATGACCTATCCTCCGTGCAGCGTGTGCACATGATCAGAGAGACAGACAGCAAACTCAGGTTTCTTCTCCAAAGGACATTAATCCTATCAGACCGGGCCCTCAGCCTGTGTTCTTACCTAACCTTAGTGACTTCCTCATGGTCTCCATCACAAGTACAGCCATACTTCTTTTATATTCTTTGCCAAAATCAAATATTTACCTTGACTGTTTGAGAAGTATTATTTTGGGTGCTTTAACAGAAACCAAGAAAGAATGACTTAAGTGAATGCCTTAAAGTCTGCTTTTCTCTCTTATAAAAGCATGAGCTGGTTGTGTTCCTAAGAGTCACTCCTGAGGTCCTGTCTCCCCCGTGTTGCTCTGCCATGCCCTAGGAATTGAGGTCTGCACTTGCAGCTGTACGCATCATTTCCATTCAGATTTCACAGACCAGGTTTCTGCCCACTTTCCTGCAATGGAGGCTGGGAAATGTGGCTGAGGGGCCGTTTGCTCAGAATTAAACCCTGAGTCTACTAACTTAAAAGAGTGGAGAGAAAATAGACACTCTTGGACCACTAGTAGGCTCTACCATAGGGTGTTAAGCACTAGAATGAAATTTGTGTATTTTATTAGTTTAGTAGGGCTGACACACATTCAGGTTTGTAGGAACCAGGTATTCGGTACTTTGTGTATGATCCAGATGTATCGAACTACTTGGGAATTTACTTTAATATCTGAAAAACTGATACGGTTCAGAAAGTGTACAGTATTTGAAGAATTTAAGGGTACTTCTTATAACTGACACAGTGAGGCCTTCTGTGATGGAGCAGACTGTGTGAGCAGACACCCTTGTGTGGGTCCAGATCTGAGTGTTTCTGGCATTCGTGGGTACCATCTCCACGAGCTCTAGGGAGGCTGTGACGTCAGTGTCTGACAAGCATAGCATCGTCTGGACCAGGTAGGAACACTAGCTTGAAGCACCCCAGACCATAGGCTTATCAGACACTGTGTTCCTAAAGGACTCGCCTTAGCACGAGAGGCAGTGCGATTTACTGTGTGCACCTTATTAGGCAGGTGCTCCTGGGACAACTGCTGCCCTGCCTTGGACACTGATCACCATGGGACATCTCCCTTGCAGACAGCTGTACTGGCCCCAGTCTCCATGGCTTCCCATAGGTCACACAGGTCACTTCATCTCAGCTCCCAGGAGGCTTTGTTTTCCAATTAGCCATGTTGCCCCCTTGGGTAACAGCCTCTTAGAGCATGCAGAGCTTCTGTGCCCCAGCAGAGCTTGCTCTGGTCTGCACTGCGCCTCATGCCAGGGCTCACTGAGCAGCGTCCTGCCTCCAGGAAGGGGGATGGGATCTGGTCCAGAAAGATAGGAGCCATTGTTCCAGGAGCTATCCAGGAGCACTCGGGGCTCCTGGCTGAGGTGCCCCTTTTAAGGGAACTCTTTGCTATTGTACTGTGTCTATCCACCCCACTCCTCCAACCATCAGCACGATGGGCTTACATGTTGGATTTTTGTAAAAAAATAAAATGAGAGACTCAAACTCAAAAAATAAGTAAAAATTTAAGGGCACTTAAATCTGTTTAAAGAATTATAGTTACTTTTGTCAAAATAAAAATTAAAATCAACAGGTAATGCTTAAAATTTTTTTTTTCTGACCAATTTTGCATGCTTATATCTGGTAATCTGAACAACTAATTTGAAGACAACAATATGCAATATAACAACCATTGGTGAATTCCTACCATCTTGTTTGGTGAAGCTCTGTATTGTTTCTAATGTTTTATTATTATTGTTTTTTATTCTCTTTAATGGTTTGATCAATCTTGCATTCTTACATCTGGTAATCTGAGCAACATCATTGATTTTTTTGTTTGGTTGGTTGGTTTTTTGTTTTTGTTTTTTTTTGTTTTTTTCCGGTACTGGAAATCAAACTCACGACCTTGCACTTGCCAGGCAGGTGCTGTGCCACTGAGCTAAATCCCCAGCCCCTGAGCAACATCATTGAAGACAACAATATGTAATATAACAGCCACTGTTAATTCCTATCATTTTGTTTTGAAACCCTATACCATTTTTATTGTTTTTGCTTTGTTTTATTTTTGTCTATGTTATTGTATTACTGTTTTTATAATAATAAAAAATTAAAATCAAAACATAAAAATTAAATTATAATATTCTTAATGATTTTTTCCTATTAATAGCCTTCTGCCTTAATGATAACCATAATGTGAAATACAGACATTTGTCTTCTATCAGGAAATGTCAGTTGAAAACTCTGAGATGTATATTGTCGTGAAGGAGACATCATTAACAAAAGGAGTCAATTATAGCAATATGTAGAGGAGTCTGTTGATTGAATTTTCAAAAGATCCTCTTTGAAATGTCTGTTTTTATCTTTTCTTTAGCCGTACCATGTACTATATAAAAAATTTATATTTGCTATACCTAATATTTTTTGTGTGTAAGTATCTATGTTAAATATATAAACCTAGACTGAAGCTCAAACCAAGTCATTCTTTTATATTTAATTGCCCTTAAGACTAGCAGTTTTCAGAAAATAGCATAACCCCTTTCTTTTTTCAACAATTTAACTGGAAATTCCAATATTAAAAAAGCAGAACTACAATCGTATAATTTATTTTATATACTCTTTTGTGACATTTACTTCTCAGAGTCAGCTCTCAGAATCACTTAAGCTGCCTTGATATATGCACATTTGAAATTAGAGGGCGATAGAAAGCCAGTGTGGTTTTTATAAGCCTAAGTATCATTTGCTTCTTTGAGTTACATAATATCAAGAAAATTCTGGTTCTCAATATCAGTGGTTGAAAATGGTAACTTTTTGAAATAAATCATACTCGCATGTGTAAACATTATATAGTTCACTGGTGTGAGAGACTGAACAAGTAAATAGGACCCAAAATGTACGATAGATACTGTGAACTGGGAAGAAACTGTTTAAAAGAAAAGAGAAACTGTGATGGGGGAAAGGGAAAAGGAAGGAAGTGAAAAGGGAAAAAAAATTATACATATATATATATATAAAGAAGATAGCTAAGCTACAAATATTGCTAGTTTCTCTTAGTTCATTGAAAAGAAAGGTTTATGCTAATATGTTTGAACAATATCTAATCTTTATATCTTATACACAAGTGACTAAAGATAATAATCAATATGCAATGTATTATTGTTGCTGTCCTGTTAACTTGTTTTGAAATTCTATTTCATTTTTTTCTGGTTTTTATAATAAAAAAAGAAAATAACTTTTTAATAGCATATTTCATCTTCATTTAAACTTATCTGAAGCATAAGAAAAATTTTACTGTCTTGAATCACCAACAGACTCTATCACCTCTTCAAACTTAACCATAAATATACTAATTATACAAAAACACTCAAAGGAGTCAAGCTTGGACTGTGTTCAAACTTTTTTGTACTGTGATAAGCATGTGACTCTATAATGGTAATTAAATTCCTTCACAAAAACAAACTGAGTAGGTGAGTATGTATAACACTGCAATTGCTATAATACCTTATTGATTATTGGTTTCCCTAGGAAGAGTATGAAGAACTGCTTCGTTACACTATAGTGACTCCAAATATTGAATCCAGTGCTTCACAGCTATCTCACCCTAAGGGAGAAGCACCAGACACTAGAATTCCTGCTACAACTGATAATATTCTTCACAGTCAAGGTTGTCTCTTTTTCAATATATTTCTTTAAGATACTATTTTGGGTTTTTCAGTGATTTGACTTACAGTTCTGAAAATGCCTCTGTGGTTCGGTGATTTCTTCTCAGTCATTCGTATGTATCAGTGTCATGTGGGTGATCTTACATTTTGATGTTATTCCTGGCTTTTCTATGGAGCTGGATTTTTAATTTCATTTAACTCTTACGAAGAGTAATGAAGTTAAAATAACCATTATATGTCTTGTAGTGGGATATGCTGCACCTCAATTCTTGTTCTAGCAGTTTTATGCCGGGTATACCCAGAGAACTAGATGGCCAAGGCCAGCATTAAAGGTGGTCCTTAGGTAATCTCTTCAGTACCTTTGTAATCCAAATACTAGTGTTTTGTCCGCAGTATTTACATGGGCATGAAGGACTATTTGGATATTCAGCACAAAAGTGGACCCCTTTGTGGAGTGTGTTGGTAAGAGAATTGAGAGCTGATCCAAACCAGGGTGTGCATTGATAGATGATAGAAAGGTAAAGCTCCTTTGATCTCTACACTTCTTAGTATGTACAAGATCCCAAACAACTCACTGTGAGTAAGGATTCTTTCAAAAGGCAGGGAACACCTTCCTCAGGCAGCCCTGATCATGGAGTTACCACACGTAGCCCTACCGGCCAGGACCTCTGTTCTTCAAGGCATGTGGCACAGCCTACTCAGAGTCAGAGGCTCCTGGGTTTCCAGCAAGTCACTGCACTAGTTCCTGTTCCTTACCTCTAGAGAGGGATTTCATTGCTCTTTGGTTTTCAGCCTACTGCATTGGAACAACAAATAGGACCAAAGGACCAGAATCCTAAAACATTTCTATTCTGACAAGATTTTCTACCCAAATTTTATTATCTTCAAGAAATATGAACTTTGCTTTTATTCATCAGTTCTGCATCAGTGATCTCGAGCATGTTTTGACTACACTGAGTACCTCAACATGCAGTTGCTACTAAGCAAACTCAAAGTGGTGCATGCTCCTAACATGAATAGGTAAATCCACGTGTTACCCTACATATACCCTACACCCTGACGGGGACTGCCAAAAGCTTGTCTCCTCCCCACTTGCCAGCAGTACTCCATACTGTTGCTGCCAGGGACAAACTCGGGGCTCCTTGCCTTGCCTGGCTCCCCAGCATTCCAAGGTAATCCTTTGAGACTTAAGACCATTGCTCTGTTTTCCATGTAAGAGCATTTCTTTGTTTATGTTCTGCCTATGTTCTAATTAAAACATATAACGTATGGTAAGTTTAGATATCCCAACCCCCAAGTGGACTTCGTTAGACTGGGCTATGGAAACTTAACCATCACACATTCTCTTTATGCTTAGCGTTGTGGTCAGCTGATTTAAAGAGGGTACATTTTAGAGTTGGCACAGTATACGTTAGCCTGTAACAGTCATTCTTGTGAGGTTTTCCTCAGTTTCCTTTTTGCCATATATATTGACTAGAGGTTCTTAGAAGGCAGCAGGGAGGTCCTGAGTTTGGTGGAACCTGGTGCTTTAGTTTGCTTGCAGCTAGTGAAAAGCAGTGAGCCCCTGGAAAATACCCAGTGTCACAAGGTAGCAGGTTCTTTTCTAAGTTTTACTGTTTTGCCCACTTATTCTCTTAAAGTGGACTGAATGCTATAGTAGACAATTACCTTTCACCACCCATGTTTGGTGAGTGAGGTTGAGCTTATCAATGATACGATGTCTTTTCTAGTTTCAGATTTCTTTTCTTTCTTGTCCTTTGTCCTACTGTTCTTGTTTCCTCAGGATGTTATGTTTTCTTTGTTCTAAAATTTTACTTACATACTATTACCCAGTTAAGTTAGATATGCATCATTAGGCATTTTATTTAAAAGTCGTTTAATTTTAAAAAGCCTTTATTTTCAGCAGGAAACACCTCTGTAGTAAGAGAAACTGCAATGGAAGGTGGAAAAGGATGCGACTTACATATTTCAAGTCACTCAAATGCAGATGGTATGACTTTCCTTAACTTGTTTTTATTAATATTTAATACTTGTAATTTGATAAATATTATCTATATAATAAGAGGCATGATGTCAGTATACTTACTGATAGCATTTTTAAATGCTATTGTTGCTAATTTGAGGATAATATTTAAAATAGTTTCATAAGTTTCCGAAATTGTTCAATTCAAGCAGATTCAACCAGGTGTGGTGGCACATGTTTATAATCCCAGCATTCTGGGAGGCTGAGACAGGAGGATCAAAAGTTCACACCCAACCTGGACAATGTAGTGACTCTGTCTCAAAATAAAAATTAAAAGGGCCAGGGATATAGCTCAGTGTGAAGGCCCTGGCTCAATCTTAAGTACTAAAAAAATTTTTTAAATCAATATACTATTTTCTAGCTTTCGATCATATGTGTTCTATTGTAATAATTTTTGTTATCTTTATACCACCTGTTCTGTCATTTTTCTTTAAAAATGTTCAGTTTTAAGCTGAGTATTGTAGCACATACCTGTAATCCCAGCACTGGGAAGGCTGAGGCAGGAGGATCACTAAGAGTAAAAGGCCAGCCTGGGCTACATAGTGAGTTCAAGGCTAGCATGAACTGCACAGTAAGACCCTGTTGCCCAAAAAAGAAAAAGTTCAATTTTTAGTTTAAATTCATTTAAAAGGAAACCTTATATCAGTTGTTACTTAATGTAATATAAAACTAATATACACTTATTACAATAAGAAAGTAATGATACAAGTAAATACCATGAAAACAAAATTATTAAATTTTAGCTAACTAGTGTTGATGTATTGAATCTGAAATTTGCTTTGTCTTTGTTGAGAGAGATTAGCAGATGTTAAAGACATTTTAAAGTCATACGAAAGCCAGATTGAAACTTTTGCTTGACGTAGAATAATTTAAAAAATAAAAATGGAATACGTTCCTTACCATATGATTCAGTGTCATTTAACGTGGAACCCTTTCAAGCCACCTTGTAAGAAATGCCGCTCCCTGTAGTTTCCTCATGTGGAAATTTCCTTCCAATTCTTAAGTTACGCGACTTTTTAGAAGATAAGTGTGCTTTTTCCAAGCCGTTAAAAAGCAGCATCTGTTGCTTTCCCTGTGAGCGCAGATCTGACTGGTAAAATCCAGTGAAGGAATTGTGCACTCTTGGTCATGCTGACTTGCTAGTGGCTCCTTAACCTTTCTCAGAACACATAGATGGTGCTTCATAAGCCAAACTTAGTTTTACAGTATAACTTTTATGCCAACATGCATGTTTTAGAATGATTTCCCCTTTTGCAAAGAATTCTTAAAACATTCTCTTTTAAGTAACAAGTTCTATAATAGGTTTGGTTTTGATCCATTTGGTAAGGACGAGAGCAAAGTCCTTTAATCTCGGTTATTAGTACCCTGTAACAGATGTGAGATATATGAGAGACGATGATGAACAGTGTCAAATTTTAGCACTGATGTGTGATGAAATGCTAACTTTTCTGTTTTATGCTGTTCAGAAGTAGAGCCCAGTCCCCTTTCTGGCTCTGGCTCATCCCCACCTTCTTATTTAAGTGCAAGCGGTGACTTACATGTATAAGTACATACATACAGAGAGATGCGTGTACTCCTCACCTGCATGGTGAAGGCTAGGAAGAAGCCTTCCAGGAGAGTATCTGCTAAGCTAAACTGCTAGTTCCTTTTTATTTATATTGTTGGATCTTAGCAGTGCTAAGACCCATCCCAGTTTTCAGGGTAAAGTAATCATGACGTGATTACCACCACTCTGACCTTGGTTAGTTATTTAACCCTCTCTGAGCTTCAGTATTCTCATCATTAAAATACAGATGATAATACCTGCTTCTTAGAGTGGTGTGTTATGGGAAGGAACCCTGTAACATTTTTGTTGCAGGCACATAGTACGTGGTCAGTGCTAACGTGATGTGGTGATAGCCCTTTCGGCTCAGGTTGGACCTGGATCCATCAGCACCCACTTTGGGACAGGGTCATTTGTCGATGTGTGGCGGAGAGTATAGGAAGCATCTCATGCTACAGAGTACCGAATCAGTGATGATACTGAAATGTAGAATAGCCAGATAAAGGTATACCTGAAAGGCAGTTTCGGTCTCTTCCCAGCCTCCACAGTGAGCAGATGCCTTGTACCTTTCAGTGCAGCTCCTCAGCAGTTTGGGGGATTTTCAGTTTGGCTTGGCTGCTTCAAGTTTTCTTCTATCCTAGGGTCATCACCAGTGTTATCACCAAGGAAGCCTTCTCAGCCAGTCATGGATTTTTTCAGTTCACATCTTTTAGGTGACTCTTCCTCACCAGCAACTACTTCTACCCATACAGATGCCCATGAAATAATTATGGGTGATTGTTTTGTATCTGATGAAAACCTTCAGAGGATGGAAAATGTCCTTGATCTCTGGAGTTCCGGTCTTAAGGTATTGCAGCTGTTCACCTACAGTTGTTTAATTTAAGATGAAGTGCAGTAGTTTTACTCAAGTCTACTGTTTACTCCTCTTTTTCAAAAGCTTTTCTTAAAAAGCATCTTTAGTAAGGTTGGGGATGTAGCTCAGTGTACCTAGCATGGACTAGGTCCTGGTTTTTTTTTTTTTTTTTGTGGTACTGGGGATTGAACTCACAAGCTTGTGCTTGCCAGGCAGGCACTTATGCCACTGAGCTGTATGCCTAGCCCTAGTTCCTGGTTTCAAATCCCAGTACCACAGAAACAGAAAAACAATGAACAAACAAATGTTTAGTTTCCTGAGATGAGTCCCAGGTCTCAGGGTTTTGTGGTGATGCACTTAGCAGCCTCCTGGAGATCCAGGTAGAGTGCAGCCTGCTGCTCAGTGGGTCTTGGGCAGGACCCAAAATGATGCACTGCTGTCGAGCTCCCAGACGATGCTACCAGCCTGGAAACCACACTTTAGATTCTAGAAATAATCTTTTAGCATAGTTTCCCCCATTCTTCTCCCTTTAGAACAGGTTTCACACCTCCAATAGTGCTGTAAGTCCCCTGGAGGTAGTATCTACCCAGCTATTCAGATTGGTCTGTGCTCAGTTAGGCATCTCATGAGAAATGATAGTTAGTCTTTTGGCCTATGCCGGTCAGTAGGGTTAAGACTCAGTGATTTGATGGAAGGTGACGAGGATGACAAGTGGTTCGGGGAAGAAAGCTTCAGTTCCTCCCATTCAACTACCACCTCTGTCTAAACAGAGGCCTAGTCATGGTTCAGCCGAGCCTCCGGTTCTGAATTCTTTTTTACCTGAACCATTTTAATGTGGGCATTGAAGTCCTTGAATAAGCAAAGGGATTTAATGAATGAGGCCTGAAATGTCTTTTAAAAGGACAAGAATTTTTACAAAGTAATTTAAAATGGAAAAAGCAAAGTTCTCTGGTGTGGTCAACATGACCTACAAAGAGGCGTGACTGTTGAGCTTACATACATCATCATTTGTGTGCTGTGACTCTTTAATATGTTTTGGTGACCACTTGCTGTGATTTTTAAATTTTTTTTTAAATTTCAGTTTAAAGAAGTATTAAGGAAAAACTAATTATTGTGTATTTATTTTTCAGACAAACATTATATCTGAACTAAGCAAATGGAGACTTAATTTTATTGACTGGCACCGAATGCAGATGAAAAAAGAGAAGGAAAAACATGCAGCACACATAAAGCAACTGTGCAGCCAGATCAGTGACTTAAAGGAGCTTCAGAAGACCTTTGAAATTTCCATTGGGAGGAAAGATGAGGTCTTCTTTCTATGTCTTTTTTTTTTTTTTTTTTTTTTGAGACAGGGTCTGCTACGTGTTCCAGGCCTCCCTTACACTAACT